CTGTGTTTAAGACAAAATGCATTTGGAAATTGTATTTTAAAGTTTTAATCCAAATAAAAATTTTTTGCAGAGAATTTTAACATCATAATATTTTAATTCTCAGAAGTTGGTGTAGATTGAGTAGTTAAGCTCAAATGATTTTTCTTGTAAAAATTTTAAAAATTATATAGGCCTATAATGAACAACCAAATCCATTGAAGAAACTTTTATTAGTATTATTTAGTTTTTTTTATGTTTTATTTTTATAGGTATTCCATATGACTAACTTTTATACTTCCTAGACAAGAATTAAAAGATTATAATTTGGATAAATGGGGTTCCACTGTATTTTGTCATTCTTGTTGGACTGCAATTTGAAAAAAATTGTAGACCTATAAATTCCCACTGTCATTCGTCTGTTCATCTTTCCTTAATCTCAAGAATGGTGTTAGATAGATGAAAGAAGAGAACACTTATAGAAATGTTAGGGATAGGAGGTTCAATTAACTATATATGAACTTCTGATGCAAACCAGAAGTCACATTATTTTAATTCAAAAATTTTTCTATGAAAAGTGTTAGATAGATGACCAGCACAACTTTATTGTTAAAGGAAAAGTATGGTGTACAGGGAGAAGCCATTACTAATTTGAGATGGAGAGCATATATTTTATTAAAAAAATTAAAAATATGATTAAAAATTGCAGCTCAGCATTGTGACAGTGTCACAATAAATAATTGTTTTTACGTATTACTTCAATGTTAAAATGATGTAACAGTATGATGATCTATCTTGCTTTCATGATATAAAAGTTTTTTCACTTGAGTTTCTAGATATATTTTAGAGCTGAAAGAGCTAGAACATTTAATTTTGTAAAGTTTTTATTATTATTATTATTATAAATTTACTATTTTTCATATTTTGTTAAAAGCATATTTTTCTTTATCAAAATTAGGACTTATTGTTTACTTTTATTAACTGGAGAGATTACTTTAGTTGAAGTTTTAACTCTATCTCACATTGTATTGTTATTAAAATTAATATGATTAAATGTGTATATGAAAAGAAAAATTTTGTTTCAATGATTCTGAGCTTATTTAGAAAATGAGAGTATTTAAGCTCATTTCTGATCTAAATGCCAAAAATTATAGATTCAGTTTAACTTGTTAAAGAAATAATAATGAGTTATATAATGAAAATCCTATCAATATGAGATGTTTAGTCATAACCAAATCTTATATATAGAAGTTTTATTTTAAGAAATAATAAATTGTCTCATTTTTTAAAATTAATTATACTGTATTTGAATATCAGAGAAAACAATAAATTTATTAAAATTTTATATATTAACATATAAAATACATTATAAATTACTTTTTGTAAATAATTTTTTATATTTTCATACCTTTTATAGTTGCTCGGTGACTTGTTATAAAAAACATAAAGAAACTGGTTGTTCAAAACAGAATACAGAACAGAAATTGCGTAGTCAAGATGAAGTCCAGTGTTTAGATAAAAATGGTAATTTTGATTTTATTCAGTTTATGGTAAAAGGTTTCTTTTCCATTAAACTTTATCAATGACATTACAATATTAATTGAACTGAAAGACTTGTTAGAAAAATTTTATGAAGTAAATAAATATGTTCTTATATAAAAATAAGAATACTTTATAAATATTTTAAGTTTGAAATTATCTTAGTATTTTGCAAACACTAACTTTTAACTATTTGTAACTATTTAAACAACTTACTTATTTAATTTTTAATTTTTTGAAAATATATTTTACTTAAAATTATTTTATTCCTTTTTCAAATGCAATATTAAATATATAAAAAAATAAAATTGATATGCTAAGATAATTTTTTCACTGTAAATATTATAAATCAGTTGAGTTTATGGTTTAATGCAAAGCTTTGTAGAGTGCTGTGAGATGGCCTTGGAGATCATGAACAAAAGCAGCATTTTCATTAAATAAAATTTATTTAGATGTAATGTGATAGCATTTTTATATGGTATGGAAAAATTGAAAATGTAAAATGATTAATACAGTGGAAATAAAAAATACTATACAAAGGAAAAATTAAATAAATGGATTGTAGGGTATACTGCAAATGGAGTCATGAGTTATAACTGTTAACAGAATATATTTAAAACAGCTTTTGTTTTTAAGGAATTTTTGTAAGGTTATTAAATATTTTTGTTTTTAATCAATTTTTGAAAATTTTAATAAACTATTTAATAGAGAGAATTAATAGAGAGAATTATATTTATGATAAAAAACTATTTAATAGAGAGAATTTTAATAGAGAGAATTATATTTATGATAAAAAAAAGAACAATATATTTTTTATAGTTATAAATTGTTTTGTATTATATTATAAATTTATTTAAATTGATAAGTCTTTAATTATATGATGCTATTCTGTCTCAGTTTGAAATATAGATTCATGAATAATATAATAATTAAATCTTATATTTTATGACTAGCAGGTGATGATGATGCAGAATATCAATTTATAACTGAAGATACAGTTCTAAAGGAAAAATTAAAATTATTATGTAAGTTAAAAAGAAAATTTATTTTATTATTATATAAAATATATTAAAAACAATATTAATGTAGCAAGAGGAAGAAATGTTTTCTTTATACAAATACGATTTTCAGATGTGTGCTTAAATTTTGATTTCATCAAATTATAATAAAGAACAGAAATATGCTAATTAATTAATAGTTGATAACATTTATGCTTTACAATTTTCAAATGACAGAATTAGTTAGAAAAAATATTTTATAATTCTAGTAAGTTATTTAAATTGTCTAATAATTTAATAATTATATATTAATAGTGGAAATGTATTTGTTGGTGGAATAAGTATAAAGTATAAATTATGATAAATGTATTCTATAAGCAACAGATTTGCAGCATTAGCTAAGAACAGTTACAAAAATTATATTGGCATAATAAATACACTAAACATTAATCTTACTTCTACTTTTCAATTTTTCAAATTATTTAATTGTTCTTTTTTTATTTTTATATAAATTATTTCTGCTGTCATCTACACAATATTACACTGATATATAAAAATACAGTTGACTAAAACATTGTTAGCTTAACATAATCAGTATGAGTTTTAACTTAAATCTAATATATTAATAAAATCATACATATTTTATAATTCAAATATAATATTTAATATTTGTTTGCATTCTGGATTTTACAATTTTTGAACACACTTGATGAACCTTTATGTTCAGTAATGTTTAAAATTTGTGAAACAAATGTTTTCGACCTCACTTAAGGTCTGCTTCAGATTAAAATATGAACATCCATGAAATGAATTTTTCAAATGATTTATATAAAAGTTTCATTGTTTACTTAAATATATTTATATCCCTGACAACTGAAAGGTTTTTTGAAAATTATGAATTTTGTCATAATGATAAATCAAAGCATTTAATTATTATACACTCCTCAAAAATAAAATTGTAACACCATTTGTTTATTCAATAAACATTGTGCCCAATGAATATGGGTTCCCATAGGCAGCTATATAGACCACTATATAGTGAGACGATTAATTGTTGCCTGAGGTATCTTGCCAAGCTTCATCCACTGTGGTGCACATGCATATAGTATGTGGCAGTGGTCCCTGCTGCACCTCACATTGGATGAGATCCCACGAATGCTCAATGGGGGAGAGATTCAATGATGCTGCCAGCCAGAGAAGAATGTGTATTCTGTTCAGACTGGTGAGAGTTCACTATGCAACATGTGGTTGGGAATTATTTTGCTAAAACACCATGTTGGGTGCAGGATGCAGCCTGCACCAGTGGCCAAACCATGGTCCTCACAATTCATATGACATACTGTTATGTTATCAGAGTGCCAGAAATATGCACCAAGCATCCACTCATTGAAAATGATGACACCCCAAACCATGATGTCTGGTGTGGACTGGTGTGAAAAGGACTGGCACTTCATGTTCCATCGCCAAGCCTGTCCATGGTTATCATTCCACCATAAACAGAATCGGGATTCATCCATAAACAATACTCAATGCCATTCAGGGGTCCAATTGCAATTACAACACCACACCAGGCATGCAGCCAACTTCATGCAACCTGTTGCAAATGATTAGGTGGATACAGATGCACCCATTACGGTGACAGGCAGCTTGGGATTCCATATACCATGAGAAATGGGTCCCATAGGCTGTTCAGCAAATCTGCAACTCTGTTGTGCACTGGTGTGATCCACTCCATCTTTGGCATGGATCACACCATGATGGACACAGGACCGGATGTTCCTGTGTCCATCATGTTACGCAATGCTGGATGACACTCATGTCATGCCCAACACATGTGGAAACTGTGCACATCAACAAATTGAGGATATGGTCTTGATCCCCAGCTGTTACCTGGTGGTGAGTTATTCAACTTGCTGTTGTCTCAGGCATTTTCTACACCTCATCAAAAGTTTAGCTGCACAAACAGTTTCTGACAGCATTTATAACCTGAGCCAGCTGCTGGTCTTTATAATCTGAAACTGAAAGTGGGTACCAAATGTCCCAATGCATAACTTAATTAATCATTTGTATATATATATCTGTCACCTCTACTGGTCCTGCAATTTGCATGTAGCTACACTTATTCCTTCATAGTGTTACAATTTTGCTTTTGAAGGAAAAAGTGAAATTTTTTTTTCCTCAAAATTTGTTACATTTACATTTAAATTTGTATCATATGTCTGCCAACTAGTTTAGTTTTGAACTGAATATATATAATATGANTTTAGTTTTATGTTTTATCTCTTTAATTTAGTTCTACAACGAATTTTTATTGTTATTATAACATAAATAATTTATTTCTAAGGCTACAGATAATTCCTTTTAAGAACTATTGTTTAGAGAATTTTCATCAAAATTAAACTTTGAAAAGTTATACGAATTGTTGATTTTTTCAAGACTTTTTCTCTCATTTTAGAATTTGAAAACGGCAGTCAGACATATTTAACTTGAGAAACGGCCGAAGAGAAAGTGTAAGCTTAATTTAATTCTTTTAACGGACAGCAGATGGCACAGTCGAATGGACTTATTTATGACGAGAGCGGTAATAAACACGTGATTGTAGAATTAAGATGTGTCATCTGTACAAAAGAATTTAACTCAGCCAGTTTTTTTTTCTTTCTACTTTTTTTTAAAAAATAGATGGCCTCCATCCTCTATTTATCTTTTACGATGAGAAATTTTGATAAAGCTTTTAATTATCTAACACTTTTAATTTTTGTTGATTTATATGCAAATAAATCGTATGGAAATAGCTTAAGAAAAGAAACTTTTCTCATTACGATAACTTTGTCAAAAGTTATTTTTACGAAATATTGTCTATATATTAGTTACACACACATTCTTAGTTAAATTGATTCTCGACAGATGGCAGCAGCAAAAAATAGATTTATTTTATAAATTAAAAAAATTTTTTTCCTTATTAATTTAAATATTAAGCAGAATTTTCTATTATTATTATTATTATTAAAATTAGCTTTTTAGAAGCGAAAATATTAAATAACAAGCGATTTTTTATATTCTATACTTTAATTTTTTTCTCTTTTATGCAGTAATAATAAATTTTAATTAAAAGATCAAAATCTTTATATGACACATAGTTCTGCTATTCTAGTAAATTATATTATCATGTGAAAGTATCCGTGATTAGTTCTGTCACCCTTTAGATCACGCAATTTGATTTTAACCAATGAAAGAAAACTAGATCTGTTATAAAGCATAATATATCGTTCGATAAACGCGATGGTATTCAAATTAAAAGAATGGAGCAGACATAAAGTCGATGCGCGCTATTGAAATGTTAAACAGAAAAGGTGCTTAAACCCATTTCTTTTACCAACATCAAACTTATTTTCACATAAATATTCATTATTTTTCTTAATTGTGCGAATCACTTGAATACTATTTAGCAATAGTATAAATTTTAAATTACTATAAACATGCAATATTTAAAAAATTAAGTGTAAGGCGTTTGACTAATCTATGGGGAATCCAGGATCGAATGAGGACGAGCAATCTTAGGAATTTTCATAGCGGTTTGTTCTGGATATGTCCAACCCTCGCCCTCAACACTTGGCCGCCTTAATGTGGGCCTGGCCTAGCCTATGAGTCTGAAAAGCCCTCTTAGTATATATATATATAGGACTATAATAATTATCGGAGATTAATATAAAATTTATTAAATTACAAAATGTAAAAGTTACTAAAAAAGTAAAAAGATAAAAAGAAAAGATTTCGTTCTGTTAAGTCAGAATATTTTATAAATGCGAAATAAATAGGCTAAAGTATTTATAATAAAATTTATCAAGTAATTTTGTTATTAGATTCCGCTTATTGTAATCACAAATATTATTATCAAGCGTTTAACGTTATCAAAATTAGTACAGTACAGTACGTCCCAAAATATTGTCGATATCCAGCCATCATCGTTTTCCGATGAAGATCTATTAATGCTCCTAAATCGAAAAAAATGTTTTGCCTAAATTATTTATTAACTCGAACTAAAGGACAGCCAATATTCTATGAAAAAGTAGTTATGAGGCATAATAATACGTATTTTAAAAATCTGTTCAGCAACGAGTTGCATAACTTTCCCGGCCAAACTTTAAAATTGTGTGTGGTCTGTTATGAGATTTTATTTTAAAAACTTTTTATATTATTAATTATTATAAAATGATAAAAAGCCTTATTTTTATAGAAGTTTTATGAGTTTTATAAAAAATTGCGAATGCTAATAACAAGTAAAATCTTCATTAAGTTCGTCCCATTCCAGATATGATAAGTGATCCTCTTCACCTTTAACCACCAAAATTTAATAGCATCCGTCCTTGAGAAATTTTTAGAGGGTTTTATCCCGGATCTTCTAGTGGGCTGTGTCCTTAAATGTGTTGGCCATCCGGGTTAACATAAATAATAAAAGCCTATCCATGGAACTATCCATGGAAAATCTCGAGAGTTAAGATACATTTGAACCTGGATTCCAGACGGCTATAGAAAAATAATTTTCAAACATTTTCGAGGGATGCACTTTCTACTTTCTGAAAAATTCTGCACTCCGTACACGTAAAAGCATATTGGCGTATTCTTAGGATATATTTTTTACATTTTTTTTTTTCTTTGAAGGTATACCTACCGATTATATTTCAACACAAAATTAAAATAGCACACAAAGATATCTATCGCTAAATGAAATAGAATTTTTATGATATTACATTGTAGTCGTAACTAAAATGATAAGATAACTTTAAAATGTAATAATGTTAATGACATAAACACGTAAATTGCGAATGTTTTTAGTGTTACATTGTTCGAAAACTAATGAATAAAACATTAAGTATGTGTGGCTGTTGTAGCCTACCCGAAAATAAACAATGATATTGATCATATCTTCGCACTTTCCTACAAAGAGTCTTGCACCTCACTGCTTTGGGGATGCCTTTTATCATAATATGTCCAATCGTAATTTAACAAAATAAAAATGATTTTTTTAAATAAATTCGCAAATCAAATAACAATCGAAAATATATTACAAAATTAAATATTTAATGCTAACATTATATAATAAAATATAATAATTATTATTTTATTATAATATATATAGAACTTCAAAATAAGATTAAAAGAAAAATATTTAGTTAGCGTTTCCACCGATAGATGGCAATTTTAAAGTTGAAGAAAATGGCGGATGTCTGTGAAGTGTGTGGAAGTGTCACGTGGAAGTACAAAGTGCCTTGTTGCTTAATTAAATAGTAAGTTATAAGTTTACCCAGAATATCGCAGTCGGACATTATTATTAAGTCTTCATAAGAATTTGAAATTAATGTTAAAATGGAAAATTGATGCTTTTTTACTTTGTTGTGAAAATTCGCTCTTTGTTTTAAAAAATGATTATTTTGGCCTCTATATCTTATGAAGAATCATATTTACGAGCCATTCATAAATGACGCGCACCAAAATTTCATATTTAACTCCCATGTCACTCATTGCCACATCAAGACAAACCATCTTCACATTGGTTGTCATCTTCTCCTCAGAGCCATTACATTAGTTTGAATAAAAACATTATTAATTAATTATATAATAGATATTAACATAAAATTATTTATTTACACTTTTATAAAAATAAAATACTATGTAACAATAGCATTACAATTAATGTGAAAACAGTTCCAAGTGCTTTAAAAGTAACAAAAACTATCTGATTTGCAGGAGTTTACTCCTTTATAAAAAATACTTCATAAGTAAAGTGAACTCCAGCAAAGGAGTTTGTGTTTTGTTTAATTGAGGTGTAGCATCAGCAAAGCCTCTTCTATGTGGCTTATAGAATTGAGTGATTCTCAAAATTTGATTGGTCAATTTTGATTAAACTTTGTCTTTTTATATAATATGAAATGAGAAAATTAAGAAGTTAATAAAAATTAGGGAGTTGTATGATTTCACTTTAAAGATACAAGGTTGCTAGCATGAGTTTGTGCAATTTTTTAATTTTTCTTTTATGCCAGCTGTGATGTCACTTCAGTAGTAGTAACAAGTGGTCATCATAGATGCCCTCAAAACAATATTTGATGATTTACTACCACTTCAACTTGATTCTTAGTTTGTGTTTGGACAGAAAATGAACTGTCCTAGTAGCATTACATTAACAAATTTTTACTTTTGCTACAAGCTAGGTATTAAGAATAATTATATTTATAAAAATATAAATAGATTAGTTAAAATTTTATAAATGCTTAAAAAATTCTATTATTTCCACGAGTTTGAGTTATTCTTCAATTGATGATACTGTTAGAATATTGGAGGCATGTGTGTCCAGGGAAAGTTTTGTCTGGAGATTGTTTTATCAATATCCATACACTTGGCATCATCTACATTATATAAATTATAACAAGCATAAAAATATATTTTATTTTTGCCAAATGCAATCAGTACCTTTTCACAATTATAAGCAATCCCTACATAAGTAAAAATACCAAAATAAAATGTAAATCTGGGAATGACCTTATATAAATTATCCCAAAACTTACTTCCATAGTAGTTAAATGACTTTAAAAAATCAACAAAACCATCTATTGTATTGATATGTGAACATTGTGGAATTTACCATGGTTCTGTTAAGATACAGGTATCTCACAAACAACACTATATTGGTATTGCAAGTACTGAACAATTTACAAAGAAAGTAAGGCCCAAGTGTTACTGCTATGAGTTGTAATATATTTTATTATACAGCAGTCCTGAAAACTTGGCCTAATGTGGACCAAAGGGTGGCCGAGTTTGTGAAAATGCTGGGTTATCAGGAATCAGGCTAAAAAAGAATAAGTAAGAGTGTGGAGTCCTCAGAAAATACTGTACTGTACTTGTATGTATTGTTTGCTTGAGAATATAACAGAGAATAAACTGCCCAAATATCCTTAAACAAAGGAAAAGTATGTACTTTATGAAGGCATAGAGCCATTACTACACAAAAATGAAAATTAATGAATACAGAGTGTACAGTAATTTACCTGATAAGACAGACCTCAGAAAAATATTTAATAAAACATAAATCTGTCTATAATGAAAATTAGATGTTTTTTTGCTCTGCCAGGGTTTGGCCGGGTTATTGAGTGCCGAGTTTTCGGGACTCTACTGTATTATAATATTCTTTAATTCTTTGTTTAATTAAATTATTTTCTTTATATAATATCACAATATTATTTATTATTAATGTGATATTATAAATAAACAAAGAACATTATAATATAATAAAATATGTAAATAACATTAATTCAAATAAAGAAATAATGCAGGATGCATGCTGTGATAAGATAGTATGGTATTTTCCTGTGAAGATAGTTGTGGTATTTTCCACAAAGATAGTTGTGGTATTTTCCACTGAAGAGCCTGTGTTTAAGACAAAATGCATTTGGAAATTGTATTTTAAAGTTTTAATCCAAATAAAAATTTTTTGCAGAGAATTTTAACATCATAATATTTTAATTCTCAGAAGTTGGTGTAGATTGAGTAGTTAAGCTCAAATGATTTTTCTTGTAAAAATTTTAAAAATTATATAGGCCTATAATGAACAACCAAATCCATTGAAGAAACTTTTATTAGTATTATTTAGTTTTTTTTATGTTTTATTTTTATAGGTATTCCATATGACTAACTTTTATACTTCCTAGACAAGAATTAAAAGATTATAATTTGGATAAATGGGGTTCCACTGTATTTTGTCATTCTTGTTGGACTGCAATTTGAAAAAAATTGTAGACCTATAAATTCCCACTGTCATTCGTCTGTTCATCTTTCCTTAATCTCAAGAATGGTGTTAGATAGATGAAAGAAGAGAACACTTATAGAAATGTTAGGGATAGGAGGTTCAATTAACTATATATGAACTTCTGATGCAAACCAGAAGTCACATTATTTTAATTCAAAAATTTTTCTATGAAAAGTGTTAGATAGATGACCAGCACAACTTTATTGTTAAAGGAAAAGTATGGTGTACAGGGAGAAGCCATTACTAATTTGAGATGGAGAGCATATATTTTATTAAAAATATGATTAAAAATTGCAGCTCAGCATTGTGACAGTGTCACAATAAATAATTGTTTTTACGTATTACTTCAATGTTAAAATGATGTAACAGTATGATGATCTATCTTGCTTTCATGATATAAAAGTTTTTTCACTTGAGTTTCTAGATATATTTTAGAGCTGAAAGAGCTAGAACATTTAATTTTGTAAAGTTTTTATTATTATTATTATTATAAATTTACTATTTTTCATATTTTGTTAAAAGCATATTTTTCTTTATCAAAATTAGGACTTATTGTTTACTTTTATTAACTGGAGAGATTACTTTAGTTGAAGTTTTAACTCTATCTCACATTGTATTGTTATTAAAATTAATATGATTAAATGTGTATATGAAAAGAAAAATTTTGTTTCAATGATTCTGAGCTTATTTAGAAAATGAGAGTATTTAAGCTCATTTCTGATCTAAATGCCAAAAATTATAGATTCAGTTTAACTTGTTAAAGAAATAATAATGAGTTATATAATGAAAATCCTATCAATATGAGATGTTTAGTCATAACCAAATCTTATATATAGAAGTTTTATTTTAAGAAATAATAAATTGTCTCATTTTTTAAAATTAATTATACTGTATTTGAATATCAGAGAAAACAATAAATTTATTAAAATTTTATATATTAACATATAAAATACATTATAAATTACTTTTTGTAAATAATTTTTTATATTTTCATACCTTTTATAGTTGCTCGGTGACTTGTTATAAAAAACATAAAGAAACTGGTTGTTCAAAACAGAATACAGAACAGAAATTGCGTAGTCAAGATGAAGTCCAGTGTTTAGATAAAAATGGTAATTTTGATTTTATTCAGTTTATGGTAAAAGGTTTCTTTTCCATTAAACTTTATCAATGACATTACAATATTAATTGAACTGAAAGACTTGTTAGAAAAATTTTATGAAGTAAATAAATATGTTCTTATATAAAAATAAGAATACTTTATAAATATTTTAAGTTTGAAATTATCTTAGTATTTTGCAAACACTAACTTTTAACTATTTGTAACTATTTAAACAACTTACTTATTTAATTTTTAATTTTTTGAAAATATATTTTACTTAAAATTATTTTATTCCTTTTTCAAATGCAATATTAAATATATAAAAAAATAAAATTGATATGCTAAGATAATTTTTTCACTGTAAATATTATAAATCAGTTGAGTTTATGGTTTAATGCAAAGCTTTGTAGAGTGCTGTGAGATGGCCTTGGAGATCATGAACAAAAGCAGCATTTTCATTAAATAAAATTTATTTAGATGTAATGTGATAGCATTTTTATATGGTATGGAAAAATTGAAAATGTAAAATGATTAATACAGTGGAAATAAAAAATACTATACAAAGGAAAAATTAAATAAATGGATTGTAGGGTATACTGCAAATGGAGTCATGAGTTATAACTGTTAACAGAATATATTTAAAACAGCTTTTGTTTTTAAGGAATTTTTGTAAGGTTATTAAATATTTTTGTTTTTAATCAATTTTTGAAAATTTTAATAAACTATTTAATAGAGAGAATTAATAGAGAGAATTATATTTATGATAAAAAACTATTTAATAGAGAGAATTTTAATAGAGAGAATTATATTTATGATAAAAAAAAGAACAATATATTTTTTATAGTTATAAATTGTTTTGTATTATATTATAAATTTATTTAAATTGATAAGTCTTTAATTATATGATGCTATTCTGTCTCAGTTTGAAATATAGATTCATGAATAATATAATAATTAAATCTTATATTTTATGACTAGCAGGTGATGATGATGCAGAATATCAATTTATAACTGAAGATACAGTTCTAAAGGAAAAATTAAAATTATTATGTAAGTTAAAAAGAAAATTTATTTTATTATTATATAAAATATATTAAAAACAATATTAATGTAGCAAGAGGAAGAAATGTTTTCTTTATACAAATACGATTTTCAGATGTGTGCTTAAATTTTGATTTCATCAAATTATAATAAAGAACAGAAATATGCTAATTAATTAATAGTTGATAACATTTATGCTTTACAATTTTCAAATGACAGAATTAGTTAGAAAAAATATTTTATAATTCTAGTAAGTTATTTAAATTGTCTAATAATTTAATAATTATATATTAATAGTGGAAATGTATTTGTTGGTGGAATAAGTATAAAGTATAAATTATGATAAATGTATTCTATAAGCAACAGATTTGCAGCATTAGCTAAGAACAGTTACAAAAATTATATTGGCATAATAAATACACTAAACATTAATCTTACTTCTACTTTTCAATTTTTCAAATTATTTAATTGTTCTTTTTTTATTTTTATATAAATTATTTCTGCTGTCATCTACACAATATTACACTGATATATAAAAATACAGTTGACTAAAACATTGTTAGCTTAACATAATCAGTATGAGTTTTAACTTAAATCTAATATATTAATAAAATCATACATATTTTATAATTCAAATATAATATTTAATATTTGTTTGCATTCTGGATTTTACAATTTTTGAACACACTTGATGAACCTTTATGTTCAGTAATGTTTAAAATTTGTGAAACAAATGTTTTCGACCTCACTTAAGGTCTGCTTCAGATTAAAATATGAACATCCATGAAATGAATTTTTCAAATGATTTATATAAAAGTTTCATTGTTTACTTAAATATATTTATATCCCTGACAACTGAAAGGTTTTTTGAAAATTATGAATTTTGTCATAATGATAAATCAAAGCATTTAATTATTATACACTCCTCAAAAATAAAATTGTAACACCATTTGTTTATTCAATAAACATTGTGCCCAATGAATATGGGTTCCCATAGGCAGCTATATAGACCACTATATAGTGAGACGATTAATTGTTGCCTGAGGTATCTTGCCAAGCTTCATCCACTGTGGTGCACATGCATACAGTATGTGGCAGTGGTCCCTGCTGCACCTCACATTGGATGAGATCCCACGAATGCTCAATGGGGGAGAGATTCAATGATGCTGCCAGCCAGAGAAGAATGTGTATTCTGTTCAGACTGGTGAGAGTTCACTATGCAACATGTGGTTGGGAATTATTTTGCTAAAACACCATGTTGGGTGCAGGATGCAGCCTGCACCAGTGGCCAAACCATGGTCCTCACAATTCATATGACATACTGTTATGTTATCAGAGTGCCAGAAATATGCACCAAGCATCCACTCATTGAAAATGATGACACCCCAAACCATGATGTCTGGTGTGGACTGGTGTGAAAAGGACTGGCACTTCATGTTCCATCGCCAAGCCTGTCCATGGTTATCATTCCACCATAAACAGAATCGGGATTCATCCATAAACAATACTCAATGCCATTCAGGGGTCCAATTGCAATTACAACACCACACCAGGCATGCAGCCAACTTCATGCAACCTGTTGCAAATGATTAGGTGGATACAGATGCACCCATTACGGTGACAGGCAGCTTGGGATTCCATATACCATGAGAAATGGGTCCCATAGGCTGTTCAGCAAATCTGCAACTCTGTTGTGCACTGGTGTGATCCACTCCATCTTTGGCATGGATCACACCATGATGGACACAGGACCGGATGTTCCTGTGTCCATCATGTTACGCAATGCTGGATGACACTCATGTCATGCCCAACACATGTGGAAACTGTGCACATCAACAAATTGAGGATATGGTCTTGATCCCCAGCTGTTACCTGGTGGTGAGTTATTCAACTTGCTGTTGTCTCAGGCATTTTCTACACCTCATCAAAAGTTTAGCTGCACAAACAGTTTCTGACAGCATTTATAACCTGAGCCAGCTGCTGGTCTTTATAATCTGAAACTGAAAGTGGGTACCAAATGTCCCAATGCATAACTTAATTAATCATTTGTATATATATATCTGTCACCTCTACTGGTCCTGCAATTTGCATGTAGCTACACTTATTCCTTCATAGTGTTACAATTTTGCTTTTGAAGGAAAAAGTGAAATTTTTTTTTCCTCAAAATTTGTTACATTTACATTTAAATTTGTATCATATGTCTGCCAACTAGTTTAGTTTTGAACTGAATATATATAATATGATAAAATTTTATAGTTTTGAAATTTTCTATTTTTTAGTGAGATTTCAAAAAAAATTCCAAGATTATTATTATATACATTAGTAATAGAAATGTTCTGAATCACACATATAATCTATATATATAAAAATGAATGTATGTGTGTGTCTGTGTGTGTGTGTCCTTCATGCATTACCACACCGTTTATCCGATTGCCGTGAAACTTTGGGAAGTTGTTTAATATACTCCAGCGAAGGTTTGTGGCATAGTACGATTGCCATGAAGCTTTGAAAAGTTTTTTAATTTTTTAATACACTCCCGCGAAGTACATTTATCCTACGATAGATGGCGCGCGTTTACACGAGCATTCGCGCACAGTGTGTTCGATCGATTTCAAATTGTGAAGACCATTTCCCCCCTTCAAAAAATATCTCTATATATGCATTTGTGAACTGTTATTTACGATATTTGTAATAATTTTTGTTTAATCACTTTATTTCAACTTTTTTTTGCTAATTATGTATTCGCTCGAACTTTGTTAAAACCTTAACTGTATCCCGAACAACAACCGAAGTTGTAGAAGGAAATTCACCTATTTTACCGATCTATGTATCCCCCCTTTTCCAAATTTTAATATCGACTCAAAATAATTTAAAAAGACAAATTACAATAAAACGGTTTATTATCCAACTATCAGAAATTTCACAACATGCCAAGGAAGAGAGGAAGGAGCAATTAAATAATTAAAATTATAAAGGATTTAAAAAAATATATAAAAATGGGGAATATCGCACTTCTGACAATCGCTGCGAGTGTGTGGGCTAAATTTGGAGAATCCGTGCTTCTCGCATGGACAACTGTATGTGGCCAGCTCACGCGTCGGAAAACCTTCTGATTTATTCGTGTACGCACCAGACGGAAAAACAAAAAATATCATGTATCCACAAGCACTTCAATAAATAAATAGAATTGAAACGACACTTTGAAATGTTTTCCCAATGAAAATGAATAATAATAATAAGTTTCAATAAAAAAGATAAAATGAAAATTTAATTTTATCATAACGAGTTTGCTTGAATTTCGTTTCTTCTGAGATCGCAGCAATGCGCGACGGGTAAGCTAGTCTGAAATAAAATTCAGTTCATTGAATTTTAAAAAGTTTTATCAATTTTTATATTATACATTAAAATATATATTAATATATAAAAATCTATAAAATTTTTAAATAATTTTATTTCAGATTACATGTATATGATTCAGAGCATTTCTATTACTAATTCATACAATGACAATTATGAATTTTTTTTTTTTTTTTTTGAAATCTTGCACTAGAAAATAAAAAATTTAAAAAATATAAAATTTCATATTGCATTACATATATTCAGTTCCAAACTAAACTTGTTGGCAGAAATATATGACAAAAGTAACAAATCAGTCTAAGATAACAAAACTAATCAGACTATCATATACAAAGTGTGAAATTACAACACCACAAAGGAATGTGCATAAGCCACATGCAAATTGCAAGACTGGTAGAGGTGACAGTTGTTCTTATATATATATATGAGAATTCATTGATTCATTGATTGATAAATAAGGTTTTGTTTTATGAATTTAATTTGGAAAGAGACAGAAGACAATGTTTGAAAAGTAGTAAAAATTTTACATTTTAATTACACATACATTAAATAGGGATTATGCTGAAAAATGAGAAACATATTTTTTCAAAATATTTATTCTATTTTTTTTTTTTATTCATGGATAAAAAACATTTAATTTTATATTCATCACACTTTAATTTTGGAAACAACCAATTATATGATGGTGCCAGGTCTAGGTTGTAATGAGGATGCAGAATAACCTGTAACTTAAGTTCTTAAGCACCTTTACTGTTTCCTTATTGTAGTACAGTCTTGCATTATTATGATGTAAGAAAAAGATAATTATTTCTGCCTTTACTTTGTAAATATCTCAAGTGTTTATGAGTTCATAATTGCTTGTTTCTCTCTTTACCAGATACTATGATAAATTTATATCCCAAAAATTTATTAGCATAATCCTCTGAGCAGAAGGAATAGTTTAGAACTTCATAACAGGTAGAGAACAAGGATGATAATACTGCACTGACTGTCATTCTCTGGGTCATAATAACAATCTCCAGTGCTGATCCAGTGGATCCATCTCCAATGATGATTTTCATATGCAAATCAACTTTGCAACAGTAATGATTGAGGAGTTCTTGGCATACTTTGACTTGTTGTTTTATGATATCTGTCAATTCTCTTAATATACATCTTGTGCAGTTTTTCTTTAATTTAAAGATTGCATAATATGCAGCACTCTTTTTGGATGATTTATAGTTTGAGAACAATTTCTTTTTAATTCAACAATTTTTTTAATGTATAAACTTAAGATAGATCCACTTCTTCACTATTGGAATTAGTCAGTTAGCTAGTCACCTTGATCTTTGTTCATTGAAAACACACATCTCATATCTATTGCAGCTTTTTGCACATTAACACACTTTCAAATATTCTTCAACCCTAAACCTATTGCTATAAATGACTTGTGAATGTTTGTGAATATTCATACACATATAATCTTTCATTGTTGAAAATCCAATCACTGCTGCCTTGTTTAGAATGAAGAAAACAAGTTTGTGTTTAAATTTGACTGCTATACAAAGATGCAACATAATAAACTGAGACAGTAGAAACTAGACACTAGTGGCTGCTAAATAGTGGTGATCACATGTTTGTATTTTACACTTTGTGGAATTTTATAGTAGGAAATCTTATTTATCAATCAACCCTTATATATAATATAAAAATCTACTTTTTTAATCTTCATGATAAAAATTGTGATTTTGCTGATTTTGGGAGTCATATTTTTTACTTTTGTTATTTTTTAAGTGTTTTGAATCTTAATATTATTTTATATGCAGCAAAAAGCATTTGAATTTATGTGAGTATTGAGCAATATAGTTGAAACATCTACAGTCGACTCCCCTATAATTACAGTCCCTATAATTACGATTCCTATAAAACTACGAAAAAATATACGTATTTTGGAAATGTTGAGTCGGTTAGTGTAGAATCGATTAATTTTATGGAAGAAAACCTTTCAATCAGCCGTAGTCCGTAAACTTGACACATGTCGGCTGTGATTGGAATGACTTGTAAGAAATCGGATTCCTAATAAATTGGAACGTATCTATATCTTATAGGGGGGTCGACTGGTATTATTTGTGTATGCCTATTTAGTATAATCTACTCTTTGACTGTCAATTGTTTTAGGCTTGGAATGTAAGACACTATCAGTTCTAAGACATGTCTCTATTTCAAACAAATCAAACAAATAAACTCAGAATATCCATATTACATTGAACAGGTTGAACCAAACAATTAAACATTTGTTTTTCTGATTTTATTACAAATTACATAATTTTATAAACTAGCATTTACCAAACTGAATTTTTCAGGATCAGTCCTAAACTGGAAGAGGCATCTACTGGTCATCTCCAGTTTAAAACTGATCCTGTTTAGAGGGTGTATATAGTAATGTATGTCTATTAATCTAAAAACAGATTAATTGAATTATAATAATTTTTTACATTTTGTTTAAATTTAATTATTATTTCAAAGTTTATGTTAAATGTGAAATTATTATTAGATACTATATGTATTGTTTAAAATTAATAATTTGTGAAATAATAATATTTAATTAAAATGAGATTAATCGTGNTTGTAATGAGGATGCAGAATAACCTGTAACTTAAGTTCTTAAGCACCTTTACTGTTTCCTTATTGTAGTACAGTCTTGCATTATTATGATGTAAGAAAAAGATAATTATTTCTGCCTTTACTTTGTAAATATCTCAAGTGTTTATGAGTTCATAATTGCTTGTTTCTCTCTTTACCAGATACTATGATAAATTTATATCCCAAAAATTTATTAGCATAATCCTCTGAGCAGAAGGAATAGTTTAGAACTTCATAACAGGTAGAGAACAAGGATGATAATACTGCACTGACTGTCATTCTCTGGGTCATAATAACAATCTCCAGTGCTGATCCAGTGGATCCATCTCCAATGATGATTTTCATATGCAAATCAACTTTGCAACAGTAATGATTGAGGAGTTCTTGGCATACTTTGACTTGTTGTTTTATGATATCTGTCAATTCTCTTAATATACATCTTGTGCAGTTTTTCTTTAATTTAAAGATTGCATAATATGCAGCACTCTTTTTGGATGATTTATAGTTTGAGAACAATTTCTTTTTAATTCAACAATTTTTTTAATGTATAAACTTAAGATAGATCCACTTCTTCACTATTGGAATTAGTCAGTTAGCTAGTCACCTTGATCTTTGTTCATTGAAAACACACATCTCATATCTATTGCAGCTTTTTGCACATTAACACACTTTCAAATATTCTTCAACCCTAAACCTATTGCTATAAATGACTTGTGAATGTTTGTGAATATTCATACACATATAATCTTTCATTGTTGAAAATCCAATCACTGCTGCCTTGTTTAGAATGAAGAAAACAAGTTTGTGTTTAAATTTGACTGCTATACAAAGATGCAACATAATAAACTGAGACAGTAGAAACTAGACACTAGTGGCTGCTAAATAGTGGTGATCACATGTTTGTATTTTACACTTTGTGGAATTTTATAGTAGGAAATCTTATTTATCAATCAACCCTTATATATAATATAAAAATCTACTTTTTTAATCTTCATGATAAAAATTGTGATTTTGCTGATTTTGGGAGTCATATTTTTTTACTTTTGTTATTTTTTAAGTGTTTTGAATCTTAATATTATTTTATATGCAGCAAAAAGCATTTGAATTTATGTGAGTATTGAGCAATATAGTTGAAACATCTACAGTCGACTCCCCTATAATTACAGTCCCTATAATTACGATTCCTATAAAACTACGAAAAAATATACGTATTTTGGAAATGTTGAGTCGGTTAGTGTAGAATCGATTAATTTTATGGAAGAAAACCTTTCAATCAGCCGTAGTCCGTAAACTTGACACATGTCGGCTGTGATTGGAACGACTTGTAAGAAATCGGATTCCTAATAAATTGGAACATATCTATATCTTATAGGGGGGTCGACTGGTATTATTTGTGTATGCCTATTTAGTATAATCTACTCTTTGACTGTCAATTGTTTTAGGCTTGGAATGTAAGACACTATCAGTTCTAAGACATGTCTCTATTTCAAACAAATCAAACAAATAAACTCAGAATATCCATATTACATTGAACAGGTTGAACCAAACAATTAAACATTTGTTTTTCTGATTTTATTACAAATTACATAATTTTATAAACTAGCATTTACCAAACTGAATTTTTCAGGATCAGTCCTAAACTGGAAGAGGCATCTACTGGTCATCTCCAGTTTAAAACTGATCCTGTTTAGAGGGTGTATATAGTAATGTATGTCTATTAATCTAAAAACAGATTAATTGAATTATAATAATTTTTTACATTTTGTTTAAATTTAATTATTATTTCAAAGTTTATGTTAAATGTGAAATTATTATTAGATACTATATGTATTGTTTAAAATTAATAATTTGTGAAATAATAATATTTAAATTTGTTTTTCCAAATAGCTGAAGATTCGACATTGAAAAATGTATTGTACAATCCTCATTTACGAGATATGATACGGAATTTGGCAGCATCCTCTCATCCCGGTAAAGATTTGGAGGAAGCTATGAAGATTCCTATTTTTGTGGAATTTGTGGAACATTGTATGAGAATAGTTGAACCAAATAATTTGGATATAGAAAAATAATTTATTTGTAAAAAAATTTGTTTTTGTATAAAATAAATTTAAGATATTGAAAATATTTTTATAAATTTTATAACAAAAGAATCATCATTTTTAAACAGATAACTTTATCTATCCTTTTAGTAAATAATTTGTAAATTACAATATTTTCATAAAATAACTTAATGTCATAGACAGGTTTCATAAAGTTGATCAGAAGATATCACTTGTTTTTTTTGCCATAAATCACTTCCATTTCCTCTTTTTTCTTCTTTCCTCTTGGAATTTTTTCCATACAGGGTTTCTCTATAACTATTCCTGAAATTCTCCTCAAGTTTTGACATCAATAAATCATCTCATCTGTTTCCCTTCATACTTTCATATAAAAATGAAGGTAAGGAGGAAACGTACTGAGTAGTAGTAGATATCATCTACTACTAAGTACGTTTCCTCCTCCGCTTTTATTTTTAATTTTCTCTTTTTGATACTTCCTATTATCAAAGAACTTTATTTCCTATGATAAACTAAGTCATAAACTAAGTTTTTCAGGTACTGTACACAGTACTTTTCACACGTTTTCTCTTATTAAGTATTTCTTTTTCTGTAGCAGGCCATTGATACATAGATAAAAACTATTTTGTTGACCTTTAATTAATTCTACCTTATTTCCACTTCATAACAATACTACTGTGATCAAAAAGTATCGGAAATAGTTCATTTTAACTGCTCGCGTGCAAGAGGACGCTGTCATCGTTTTTCTTTCGTCGTTTGGTACGATTTTCAACATCATCAGCAATCTGTATGTAATTGACTGTTTTTGTTTGCAAATAAATGCTTATTTTATGTGAAAATTTTTTTTAAATGTCCAGTGTGGGCAAAGAACGTTCATTAAATTTTGTTTTCGCAACGGAACTACTGCTACAAAAACGTTGGAAATGTTGCAAAAAGCCTTTGGTTACTACAATTATCAAAAATGGGTTTGAGTGGTACAAGATGTTCGACAAAGATAGAGAACACGTAGACCAGGAGTGTCCAACCCACGGCCCGCGTGCTGCATGCAGCCCAATAAATGTAAAAAAACTGACAAACTTTTTAATTAATTTTATTTATTTATTTCAACGGCATAAACTAAAAAAAGAAGTTTCACAAAGCCGTAAACCTTTATATATATTTTATTTTTGAGTGGAAAGAAAATATTTTCAAATACTCGGAAATGTGTAAATGAGGAAAGAATACTAAATAAAGCTAAAGTTGAGACTCAAAGAATTATAGACCCAAATTCGGGAAAAGGAGAGGAAGGCCAATAGATAAAAAATAGTGGAAAAGGTGACTTTCTGTTATGCAAATATGGATCAATAATTTTCCAACCTTCCTTACTTTTTTATCTTTTGTCGTTTCTCTCCTTTCCCCCGAATTTGGGTCTATTATCCTCCGAGTCCCAACTCCAGCTTTCTTTAGTATTCCTTCCAGCGTTGTATGATTTGGCTACTTTGCGCCAAAGTTGTCTGCCCTTTTTTCATTTGGAGTAAAAAATATCATTTGGCGCATTGGCTACTTTTCGGGCTACAAATTATTTATAAATATATTAGTCGAATAAAAATGCACTTTAAAATGGTGTTTTGTCACTTTTCATTATTTAGAGACCCAAATAAAATATTTTGTTTTTCAATATATTTTTGTTTGTCTCCTTTATAATAAATAAATTTATTTCTAAGTAAAAATTGAAAGTGTCTGTAGAAGTAATTTTTTAAAATATACTTTTTCGTGATAAAGATTTAATACTTATTACTATAATCTAGACATGTTAATCCTTAAATATACTTGTATATTTAAGGATTGGTCCACAAGTATATATAATATACTTGTGGCCCAAAACTCCCTGACATCTTCCTACGTGGCCCAGAGAAACAAAAAGGTTGCCCTGACGTAGACCAATGTTTCCCAACGTGGTGCAATTCGAAAATGGACTCGTCCAGAGTTTAAGTTAATCGTATAGTCGCTGTATATGTTAGGGAGCATAAGAATTTTAGAAAGGCTTAGGTGGGACATAGCACAAAAAAAGGTTGGGAAACATTGATGTAGACTCCAGTAGCGTGCCGTGAAATTTGATGACAGAAGCTGTATTTCTGTGAGAAGACGACTTCCAGGGGCAATCAGTTAATTCTTTTGATGTATTTTTAATAGATTATTTACCTGACGTAATTAATAAATAAACAAGTTCAATATAATTACCTCTGTTATATTAGATTCAATAGATTTCCTATTCCCTCTAAATGCCGATTCTTGCTTTGATAAAAACAGTGGCGTGCCGTCCGTGGAAGCTGTGGAAGCGCCGCTTCCCTTATATTTTCTGAATTATAAATACATATTGCGCGATTATTTTCGTATTTTAACGTACTTTGAATTAATTAAAATTAATATTTTATTATAACCGCATTATGCATTAATATTTTATTACAAATTTCTAAACATGTGAAAATAATGATAAGATTGCTATTGTGTATTCGAATATAAATTCGTATATGCGTATTCCCAATGGAAGCGCTGTATTGTCGAATACAGGACAGCTACCACGAAAATATCTCAATCGTGTAAAGCAGCCAGATTACACGCATTCGCGCATGTACTAAAAGAATTATATGATTTAATATCATTAATTTTTACGGTACCATCTACGAGTATGTCTGTTAAGCGCAGTTTTTCAACCATGAAGCGAATTGGTACATTCGCAAGGAACACCCAGTCAGAGGAAAGATTGTCGTCACTGGTGTAGCTTTCAATAGAAAAAGAGCTTTTAAATACTTTAATGGAATCAACAACAATTGATTTTTATGATAAAGTGATTAACGACTTTATTCGGCAATTTTTTTTGGCAGAGTTAGTTTATCAAAAATAATAAAAACAAGTTCTTATGTATTTGTTTCGTGTCAATTATCTATTTTAAAACTAAAATAAATAAACTATTTATTTTTTGTCATTTCCAGTATTTGTTTATAACTTTCATGGAAACACACTTTGGGTTTTACACCAAATAATCACAGATCTTAAAAAATAAAATAATTGTATTTGGAAATCGAGTACAAGAACTGGCACTGACAGTGCCGTAAATTTTTGTGCCCTGTGCAATAATTTGCATTTAGGTCCCTTAATTAGGTTTGGGAAAATAACAAACAAATACATGCATTTTGGGCCCTCTTTCAAGTGGACCCTGTGCGGGTGCACCTGTTGCACCTGCAAGTTAACGGCGCTGGGCACCAATACAACACACATGGTTAGATGGAGACTAAATCTGGGAACGCGATGACGTATTGCCAGGTTGGCCACAAACAGCTTCCCTATCATCAAATGTCACCGCACGCCACTAACACATTGTATATTTAAAATTATTAAATACGTGCATTACATATGGGCAAAGTTTAAAATTCAAATGGGAGTTTTACTTAAGTGGATTCTATTATATTTCTATTACCGTCCCGTTTAACTTTATGATTGGTCTCAGTCCTCAATACCTTCATCTAGCTGTGTCAGTGGAGATCAGAAATTCCCAGTTATAGAGAAAATTTTCGTTTGAGAAAATATATTATAATCAAAGAGAAAGAGAGATAAAGTAGACATCGACAAAACTTTAAGAGTAGCACGAACGAATATCAACAGATACTCTAATTGTAATTCTGACTACAATTACAGCTATTAATCATATCAGCTAATACTACTTCGATATACTGTATTAACTTTTAATTGTTTAAGTTTAACAATAAACTTTTTATTAAAATTAATGCAAACTTTAATTTGTAACGTGCATATTCTTTTCACCAAACTAAACGGTTTTATACGAATAAAGGGCGCGGTTGCTACTATAAACTGCATATTTTCTCTGCAGTAATTATTTTCTTTGAACTTATCCATTTGATGTCCGTTATTAATCAAATACTTAAATAATATATTAATTTATGAAAATTTTGATTCTTTTAACAAATTATAATTAAAATGGCAACTGATATCTTTACAAGGAATGATATTTCTTACTCTCTATAGGCTATACTAGTAATGAGAAAATAATTAAAAAGTAACCTACACCTGTGTATTGTACTGTACATTTTATTTTCTGTTAAAGTTTGTTAAATAAATATGGCATCTCTCTATCGTAGTTTACTGTATTTATTAATTTTACATTTTTTCTTGAAGTTTTCAGAAATTCTAAGCTGTTATTATTTCAAGCTTTAAGGACGAGCTGTTTTATTCGAATAAAAAGTCGATAATTGCAAAAAGTTAATAAATACTTTATGAAAATAAGTCGTTATTCTTCACTTGTTTAAAAGCAGTTGATAGATCTGCAAAACTCATAAATACTGTATATAAAATCGTTTTCTCGGAAAAATTAATAAATATAATACGTAGAATTCTTTAATTTGGAATTTTTATCGGATTAACTGCTTAATATTGAATTTAATTCTATAATATTACGTGATATAATACAAAAACAGAACGTTTTTCTTTACGATTAATCATTTAGACATTAACTTCGAATTTAACTCGTAAACAATAATTAAAGTCATGTTTTAGCTTTTTTCAAATATTGAATTAATAATAATATTTAATTAAAATGAGATTAATCGTGCTAAACAACCCAGTTATAAAACGCGAGCCATTGTTTACTTGAATGCAGTAATCTATAAATCTCATCAAATTTTCATGTTTTTAGAGGGTTTTTATTTAGTGATATTCACATAGCTCATATATCTACAGTCTGAAATTCGAATAAGCTCACAAACAGGTAAGTCTATTTCGGTTTCGACTATTTTTTAAATTTTAACCTATAATATAGAATTAATAATGTAATGTAAGTCATAAAAATGTTGAATTTTTGAGATTTTCATTATTGTAGAAATTTAAAAATCGAAAATGTTCTTATTCTGAATTGGCTTTGTAATGATTTCAAAACAAAATTTTCACAGTTGAATGAATATAATTAAAGTTGATGTAGTTTGTTTGATTCAATGGAAATCAGAAGCCAAAGAAACGGTTGATAGCTTACTAATAATTAACACTTTATACTTCGTACAAAGTTCTGTTCAATTGGACTATAATAATGTTATAGCCTAATGATTAAACATTTAA